TCACAGCCCTCCTCGGGATTCTTGCGTTCCAGAACCACTCCAGAACGAACCACTGGGGGTGGCGATGCGATCCGCAATCTGCCTCTTCTGACTCAGACTCCTGCCTCCTACTGCGAGACGGGACCTCGGCGTGACCTGCGTATAAGCCTGCCCCCACCGATAGAGGTGGCAGAGCGAACCAGAAATTTCACTCCTCGCCTAACCTCGCCTTCCTTTAATTTACCTCATATTGATGTTGGCACCGTGCATATCAGTTCACCCAGGACCCGCCTGTCGACCCAACGTAGACAACAGGCCATCAGCGAATCCCCACCCATCACCTCGCCTACCTCACTACCGACTACGGAGGCGCGTGGAACCAACTCCAAGCCGCAGTTAGTGTACCGTCGACTGGTACCCGTACGTCGCAGCGAGGTGCTCGAACAGCTGAGAGAGACGAGAGAACAGCTGACGACAATGCTGAACCTGATGACGATTGAACTGGAGGAACGAAGACGACACGTCCTTTCTGCCGCGGCCTCTGCCCCCTGGGCTGATCACGAGACGACCCCTGGCGAATCTGGTCTGGAACTGCAACCTCGCGCAGCAGAATCCGATGTCGGCGACGATGTTGGCGCAGACGCTGCCAATGCCGGCACCTCCTCCAATCAGAGCAGTTCCGCCTATCTACTGGCAGGCACAAGACACTTTGCCCTGCAGCACCTAGCTCGCCTTCATCGCATTGAGGTCCTGCTGAACCAGATGGGCAGTACACGTCCGGGTTCCAGCAGTGAAGTCGCGGTACCAGGGCTGCGACCCTCGCTGCTCCAGGCTGCGCATCCTCCGGTGTCGGGCGGTTTATACCAAAGGAGTCCCCGACTTCGCCGAAGAACCAGAGAGGAGAGACCGAGTCTCCACCGGCTGCTCAGACGTGATACCGGCTTAGAACTGGGGGCAGCTAGCGAGGTGGAGGCGGACAGTCTAAGTGCCGGGACCGACCCGGCAACGGCCTCCAGGGATGGGGAGTTCTCGGCCTCAGGTTCTACTAGTGGCATAGCAGCGGCGTTCTGGGGTTCTGACGATGAACTGTCCTAGAACCTACACGAAAGCAGGGATGGGAATTATAGGACGAAGCGGGGTCTTGTTCGTGTCACTTCCCCACCACGTATGCTGTGTACACTGTACTTTATTTTTACGTAAAAAGGAATTCCGTCGTGTTTTTTTCTACTTCTATTCCTTCTCCCCCTTCCCCCTCCCCGTTTAGTATCACCCCGCCCGCCCGCCACAAGCACACCCTCGCAGAGACATTTGCGCAATAATTTGTCTGTCCTTTGGATAGATATGTCCAGATTTTCCTCTCAGTATGTACCCCTACTTCTACTTAATTTGTCATTAAACTTTGTTTGCATTCGGTGACCTGCGAGGATGGGAAGCGCAACCCGAGGAGGAGAAGAATGTTCGATTGAGCGATGGTTGGAAAATGACTGTGTCGATCAGCACATCGGAAATACACCCCAGTTACTCACTGTCAAGTCATGTCTGGGAAGAATAGACGTTTGAGCATATCGAAGCTTGTGAAGTATTCTACAGACGGGCTGAGAAGATCGAAACAGGCAAACATGACGTCGGAAGAGGGCGTTGACGCGTATGTGGGCGTGCTTCTGTGCGGTCACGTGCATACGTGTGTTGCGCCCGTCACTCTCTGAAACGCCAGCCAACACTTCATGAATTCCGCAGCATATTGCAGTAGTAGTACTGGCAGTAGTAATAATAATAGTAGTAGCAGCAGTGGTAACGGTAGTACTAACACTACTAACATTAGTAATAGTAATAGATATAGAAACAACAGAGATGGCCAGACATGTCTTTAAATTCTGCGTCAATTGAACTCGGAGGTTAAAAGCGTTCCGCCCTCACCATTCCATTCCCCTCCCACCTGACAGGCCATCGTAACCAGCCTAAAAGAGCTCATCAAGGTATGACATGTATTAAGGCCTAGGTGTGCTTCCAGGCATGTCTTCACCGCCTGATATCTACCGTAAAGATGAGGTTGACTGGGACGAAACGTTTGATTCATCCAGTCTTTCGGCTCGTCAAAAAGTTCATCATAATGTATACAAAAACGAGCACGACTGAACAATGTTCACCGCGCTTGGAGGTCAGCCAGTAAGCGTTGCCGACTACCTGGCATCTCATTCATAGTGTTCAATAAAGGGGTGCAAGTTCGATATGCTGGTTTATTACGTCCTGGTTAGCACACCAGGCCTGTGTGGTCTCCGAATTCATTTTTCCAACAGCCCGTGGAAGGTGAAGTGCAAGGGACGTTATTATATTTGATTACACTGTCCTTCTCTTGCGTCATTAATCTTTCCTCATATATGTCAGGCCTGAATGAACATCACCAAACCGTTTACCAGCGAAGATGGTATTTCAGAGCTGCGTCGATTGGACGGCTGTCTCATCTCGCGGAACAACATATTCCTTGGAAGCTAACACCTACGTTCCAACGCATATGACGTGTCTAAAATCCCGAAATATTCATTTATTCACCTCCTTGTACGAGAACGGGAGGTTTGGGTGAGAACCTGTTAAAGCATTAAGAAGTTGCGGTTGATCCTTCATGGTAAGATACCAAAAATCTCGGGAAAACATTGGAGGACTGGGAAGCCTAGCAAGGCAACAGTAGAGTGTAGAACCCCAGCTAACCTGATGTAGCCTGCGGACCATGTCATTCGGGAATTGTAGTAGAGTTGATTTTACGAGTGAGTCAAAAAGCGGGACACAGAGCAGGCGTAATGCAAGAAAACACAGAAAGTAATAACATTTCTGTCGAACTTCGTATCTTACGCTGTCATATGACAACGAAAGAGATCGCGGTAACGAAGAAAACAAACAAAAAGCAATTTTCAAAAACAGATGGAATTTGAATTTTCTGCCGCTGTTAAGTTTGCATTCAGTCAGGAATTCAAGAAAAGGTAACGCTAGCTGGTGTATACGAAACGGTACACGGCCTACCTCAGGTTAGTAGGGGTCCTACACCCTACCGTTGCCCCTAACAACCATAAATGTGGGTGCTCGGTTAAACCTTCCTCTCTACCGAAAATGCGAAGTGCCAAACTTTGAGGTCTGCTAGAAGGTCCTAGGCGGCTAGATTGAGTCGTGGAACTATGCAAACATTCTTTGCGAGGGTATTTTACCTGTGAGAATAGCTACTAATTCCAGGCCATAGCGGAGTGTCCGAACCATTCGTCTGGGCGCGATAAATGTGGCTAACTGAAAACCAGACAATGTCTACCAATTGATGTGTTTTTGAATGCTTACATTAGCGACTCGGCCTAGTGAAATACAGTGCGTGACCGATCTCATGAAATGTTAGCTAAAATTCTGTAATGCGTTTTTGATTAGGAAGGATTACTTAAAAGGGGTTGTAATATTGATTATCATGTGGCATAGTCCTATAGTATTTCCGACTCGCAGGGATGTCGGTTTTTAAATTCTCTTCTTTTGACCTTTTGCAGAAACCACACTCGGTAAAAAATGGCTACTTAAGTAGCAATCACGTTCCACACTGATTTTCGATAGTCTCATAAATACAAATATATTTTATGGAAAACATGCATTAAAATATGCTTTTTTTCGCTCGTTTGGTAGAAAATCACATTGTCCTTACATTTTATATCTTAAAAATGTTACCTTTCGATTTTAAAAAGTTTCTAATCATGTGATTTTTAGGACCGTGCGATGTCCATGCATGCAAGTTTGCACATGCTCCTCATTGAATGTACAACACCGTCCGGATCTATTACAAAATTTCATGAACCCCATGTGGTATCTTCTTAAAGCATAGGGAAATATATGATTTTCCTTACGCGGAAAGCATGCACCTAGTAGACTGAAATTGCTAAACGCTAATGCAATGGCATATCAGGCTAAAAATTATTCGGGAATTGAGAAACTTTTTTAAGACCTAAATACACACCTTCTTCAGGCATAAAATATGAAAACAATGTGATTTCCTACCAAATGAGCAAAAGAAGGAACATTTTAGTGTATGTTTTCTGTAAAAGATATTTTAATTTATAAGACCATCGAAAAGCAATAGGAAAATGCATGCTACTTAAGTAGTCATTTTTACCGAGTGTGGTTTCTGCAGGAGGTCGAAAAGAAGTGCATTCAAAAGCCGACATCCTGGGGAGTCCGACATGTCATAGGGTTGTGCTGCATAGTAATCAGTATAACAACCCCATTTAAGTAATCCTTCCTAATCGGAAACGCATTCCAGAATTTTGTCCAACATTTCATGAGATCGGTAAAGTACTGTAGGGTCAGAGGCAGAATATTATTTCCCCGACCAATAGGAGGCGTATGCCGGTGAAACTATCCCAAGTCAGGGTGGGGCACTCTCCGCCAAGTGAACAATAGCACTGTTACCCGGACAACTGGAAGGGAAGGTTTTCTTCCGCGAGGGACTTGATCCTTCCGCTGAAACTTCGGGCTTTGTATTGTATTACCACTTTGAAATCAGGGCAGGTTACTAAGAGACCGAAAAAAGCAGGCCATTTCGCCGGGCGTCAGTGTGGTCCGGTAAATCAGCCAGAATGCACACACGAATGCCTACCTGCAGGCAAGATTTTGAATATTGCGTAGTTATTCAGCTCACATAGTAATTTCTGAGAAGAGTAAAAAATCTAACATTAAAAAGGGTAACACGTATGGGACCCGCTGATAAGACAAATCCCTGGCATCTGTGCCATGAAGCGGCAGCGAATCGGCGAAACACAAGGCTAAGCAACATTTAAACTTAAAAACTGGTATCACAAGTAGTTTAAGAAGAGATAGGTTATGAAAAAGGAGACACGATCGCTGGGACAAGAGCTTTATTAGCCTGACGTTTCGGATTCCTGCTCGAACCCAGCATTAGAGACAAAAGCAGATAAGGGTGGTTTATGCATATGGGGCTGCAGTATTTACAGGATGCTACCGCATACCTATGAATATTCACGGCTCCCCCTTCCCCCTCATCAGGGATCGTTGCACGTGGTGTGATGGCCGACATTCGCGTCGTTAATTGCTGCAATTTCATCACGTACGTTGGGTGTTGGTGTGATAATTGCTCGACCATCTGACGCAATGACCCTGGTGTTGGGAAAAGTGTTCACCTGTGCTCTCCCCGCGTGGTTAACTACCCCGCCTAGGCGAAGTCTCAGCACTAAGTATGGAATGGGAAGATCATTGCACTTGTTAATGGACTGAGGGCCAGTAAACCATGATTCAAGTATCTCCCAGCTCACGTGGTTGTCACCTCTTGCGAGAATTCCGGCCTCATCGAATTTGAATGTGTGGCCGGATCTCGTCGCCGCAACTTGAGAGTTAGCGTCATTTCTCCGCACCGCTGCAGCGTGTTCAGCCATTCGCGTTCGGAGCTGTCTTCCGGTTTCTCTGGCGTAGTTGCTTTGTCCGCAACTGCCCAAGATCCGATAAGTCACTCCAGACGTTTCTTGCCGTGACAGTGGGTCTTTCGGTTTTATTAGCTGACGCCTGATGGTTACCTCCGGTCTGTGTGCAACTCCAAACCCAAGTGGTGCGAGAAGGCAGCCGACAGCTTCCGAAACGTTCTTGACATACGGAAGCGCTCGCCAAAATTTGGTGTCCGTGCGGGTAAACCTTTCGTCCGTTTTGCGTATGCACCGGTTGACGAAGTTGCGCGGGTAGCCATTGGCTTTGAAGACCCTTCGGAGGTATTGTAGTTCAGCAATCTTGTCTTCCGGCTCACTGCAATGCGTTTCGACACGCCGATAGAGCGTCCTTACACAACTGCGTTTGTGGTTGATTGGGTGGTTGCTGTTGAAGTTCAGTACTTGCATAGTATTTGTTGCTTTCCTGAACACTTTGGTCTTTAGTCCACCACAATCTTTGCGGCATATGAGGAGATCCAGGAAGGCCAGCTGGTTGTTCTCCTCCTCCTCTTCCTCCTCCTCCTCCTCCTCCTCCATCGAAAATTGTACGTCCGGGAAGACCGCATTCAGATGTTCCTCAAATGTCAGCCGTTGATCCCGGTCGATAAAGACGAAGGTATCATTCACATACCACATAGGTTATGCCTACTCTGGTGGGTTGTAAAAGCCGAAAGACCGTCTATGAGACCCCTTTAACATGGGGAATGGCCCTCCAGACTTCGTGTTGCTGATTCTTTGACTGTCATTTGTGCGCTCAGAACCTGGTTTTCTCGGTAAAAGTGCTGGGATTACCAGTAGCTGTAATGATGTTCTGAAGCTGTAGTCGTTTGGCCCTTTTGTCTTCTGGTGTACTCCACTGCGTGTGTCCAGTTGCGCACCGGCGCGCAAGCACGTCAAGAAAAGGCAGTTGGTTGCTTGTTTTGTCTTCCACCGTGAATAAGATATCCGTATCAACCGAGTTTAGTAATCCCTTAGGATGCTGAATGTCAGTTGTTTTGACAACGTTGGTGACGTCGATATAACGAACCTAGAAGTTTGACCGATACTTCGTGAATACCAAGTATTCTATCCGGTCAAGCACTACTACAGCAATCAAGGCTGATAATGGCGACAACTGCAAGCAGTATTCAGAAAAGCCACCGACACGAGGCAAGCACTACACCTTGTTGTTTCGACGCCACCATCGTTGTCAAAACAACTGACATTCAGCATCCTAAGGAATTCCTAAACTCGGTCGATACGGATGTTTTATTCACTGTGGAAGCTAAAACATACAACCAACTGCCTTTCCTTGACGTGCGCAACTGGACACACGCAGTGGAGTACACTAGAAGACAAAAGGTCCGAACGACTATATGTTCAGAACCTCATTACAGCTACTGGTTATCCCAGTCATTTTACCTAGAAAACCGGGTTCTGAGCGCACAGATGGCAGTCAAAGAATCAGCAACACGAAGTTTGGAGGGCCATTCCCTATATTAAAGTGGTCTCTCAGGTGGTCTGTTGGCTGTTATAACCCTCCAGAGTAGGTATAACCCATTGGAGGCCGTTTGATGCAACTTAAGGACACGGGGCCACCCACTGAATCTCCAGCAGTTGTCTACAAACTAAGTTGCGGTGATTGGGACTGCAAATACGTCGAGGGAAACCGGGAGGAAATTTCAGACTTGTCTACAAGAGCACAAATCGGCAACCCAGAGGCTAGGCCCAAACTCTCAACTTGAAACGCGCGTTGGAGAAACTGGCTATACTTTCGACCTCCAGGGGGCTACCATCCCAGGCGAAACAGCCAACACTTCAGACGTAGTATTTAGACGTCGGTTCCGTCAATTGGCATGTGGACCTTCCTGTAGCTTATGAAGTCCTGCGTCATTACGTTCATGATGCTCAGGACCAGACGACCACACAGAACCTAAGAAAGCCGCGCAGACACAGTCCGACGACGAGTTCACTCGGTGAGAAAGAAAAAATGCGTCAGAACGACCGACCTCTAGAGAGACTTAATCACATCCTTCCGACGAGTTGGTGGCTTGCAGTGCACGCAGCTAAAACGCCCGCCGAATATTCCTGGAAAGTCCTATGCAGGGGGATAAAATCGATTAGCCTGAGGCCGATAAACGCAAAATGCCACTCCTATTTTTGTCCAGTTAAGTACATTTTACGTTTTGGCGATGGTGAGCCGACCAAGCCCTCCGAAGCGTCATTACAATAAACCCGCTACAGATGAGCCCATTTTGTTTCTCAAATTTGCGAACTTTCTATCTGTTCTAGAATGGTGTTGAAAACTGTCAAGTGAGTGACAAGATATGCAAACCGGCAATGCATATAAATCAGGGAAAAACGACGTGGGCATTTTAATTCTTCGGTGGCCATGGAAAACAGTAGCCGAACGAATTGTCTCTTACAGATACCTGGGATTCCATACGTCACTGCCGAGTAAAACTGAACTGAATGTTAGAATAAATGACCGGTGTAGGACTCTCCGTCCTCTGCGAATGTTCGAAGTTAAAAAAAACTCGGACTTGTTGGCTTCTTTTAACTAGCTCAATAAGTTTGGGAACGTTATTGACTAACTGTCACCGAAAAGCAATTATGGGAATATAAACATCGACTGAGTATTTGCGTAAAAGGGTGACTACTACACTTTGGAGTAACTTGGAACTGCACATATTACGAAATTCATTTGAAAACCCTAAAATTTGGTATAAATACATATGAAGCACCAAGATTAAGGAGGATCTGATTCCCGTCCGTGACACTCTAGACAGAGCGCTGCAGACTGATGGTCTCAGAAAATGTTTCTTCAGCCAACGAGTAGTCAGACAATGAAACTCGCTACCAGATGCACTGCTGACGACCGATCTGAATAGCAGGCATGATTGCGAAATCGCAAACCAAAGCGTCTTCACATATCGATTACTTACAGCCTGCCTTGTAAAAGAGTTTGCAATGCATACCACTTCTCTACTGAGCCACATTGAAAAGCAATAATTATTTTATATTTTGCTGATATGCAATAAACACATTCTAAGTACTTGTAATTTTATACTGACTTTAAATATGCTAAATAACTGTAAATAACGAGGGTGATCGAGGAATCCACCTGAAATCCCTTAAACACATACAGACCTACATAAATCTCTAACTTAAGCTGCGCATTCAGCAGGCTAGACTGAATGTTTAAAAGTTCTCTGTCGTCAGGGTGGTCGAATCGCGTAATGCCCTCTCTGCGGCTACAGTAGGTGGGCTAACTCAGGAAATGTCAACCGAAATTCCGAGATGCATTTTCGTTTCGGAAAGATTAATTAAGTTGGATTGTAAAACCCATCAGCCTTCAGTATAAGTCTATAATAATTCAGTTACCTCAGGATGATGGCATTCGAATGAACTTCCTTCCGGCTGCATGCGAAAACTATACTCTGTACAAAATGACAACTATGTAGTATGCATATTTCGCATTAATTTTCGATGCCTCTAAAAGTCCATGCATAAAAATATTCATTCTTTTGCTCATTCGGTAAAAAATTACGTTTTCTTCCAATCCCTGCCAGCACCAGCCCCTCCTAGCCCCGCCTAGCCCCATAAAAATGGCGGGGCTAGAGGGGGCTATGAAGGGGCTAGGCGGGGCTGTGGAAGGGGCTTTGGCGGGGCATTCAACACGACAGCCCCGCCTGGCCCCACCAGCGGGTACGCGGGAACAGCAGAGGATCAAGTTTATTAGCGCAAAATGGCCATTTGGTGAGGGGACCAACTAGCCTTTGGGCCTGGTCAACCTATAATTAACCCTGCCAGCACCAGCCCCGCGTAAACCCCTCAAGTATGGCGGGCCTAGAGGGGGCTATGAAGGGGCTAGGCGGGGCTGCAGAGGGGGCTGTGGCGAGGAATTCAACACAACAGCCCCGCCTGGCCCCACCAACTAAAAAATGTGCAGGTGACGCCAGATTCCCGCCCACTTTTTGGCACTCCTTTAAAATATCGACCTGTATGATGAGTCCCCTGAGGCGCACACACATAATACCTGCTGGCAGAAGTTTCAGTGCTCAGAATAGACATTTCTCGTTCAGGGGATTGATTTCCAACTGCTGCCGACGTTGAGGGAACCTCAGAATCAGGCTCTTCAGTGGCCCCATAATATGCCTTCATCTGGTAGTACGGTGAGAGCCACAGTAAGTACGCTTCATAATTGCTTTGGGTGTTCAGTAAAAACGATAAAAAATTGTATGGGTGGACTGTGAACACCAATGCTAACTAGTACATACAAAGACATACAAGACGATTACTTGAATTGGTTTGTCAGTAAATACCCAAACAAGTAGCATAAGATACATAAATTAACTAAGACAGTTATTAAGAGCATGAAAACAGCATTGGTTGACACACGATATTATCCGCGACCCGTGGGCGTAAACGAATGCTTTTTCCATGATTTATAAGCCACTTTTGACAAATTAGCTTCTTTTAATGCCAAAGATGGTACAATGAGTGGTGCTTTTGAAACATAGCTTTCGATGCAAATACGCTTCAAAATGTTGCAATCCAGAGGGGGCTCTGGCCCCGCCCAACCCCTTCCAGCCCCGCCTACGAAGGGGCCATGTGCTGGCAGGGATTTTATACTCGAAGGAAGGGTATTATTCGTTTTTCAAAAACTTTCCCATTTCCCGAATAATTTTGAACCCGCTCTGCCATCACACTTGCATTCAAGGTTTCCAATCCCCAAGCCATGTATTTTCCGCGTGCGGAAAACCGCACATTTCTCTACGGTATTAAATTGGAACCATATAGGGTTCAAAAAATTTAGCAGTGGATTTGATCCATATTGTTAACTTTACAAGTCACATTGGTAAATGCAGAGGCATGACGTTTTATAAACGGCCATTTCACAGTATTAAAAAATCTCACAAGTAGAAACTTTTTGAAAGCCGAATGATGTCCTTCCGTCGAGTGTACAATTGAAAGAGGACATAATTTTCTACCGAATGAGTGAAAGAATAAATATCTTTATGCATGTTTTCTATGAAATATAATTGGACATTTAGGGGCATCGAAAATCTATGAGAAAAACGCATGCTAATTAAGTAGTCATTTTTACAGAGTAAAGTCTTCGCAGGCGGCCGGAAGGAAGTTCGTTCGAAAGTCCTCATCCTGAGGTAACTGAATTATTATAAAATTATACTGCAGGCTGATTATTTTTACAACCCAACTTAATTAGTCTTTCCGAAACTAAAACGCATTTCGGAATTTCGGTCGACATTTCATGAGTTAGCCCACCTACTGTATGTGATGTTAGTATCGACGGAAACCTTCGAGAAACCTTGATAGTTTTCTGTTCGAAAGTGAGTTGGAGCGACAAGAGCTCAAATTCATCCCATGTTTGTTGGGAAATTCATTTTTGCCTAAACCGGTTGAAAACGAATGCCTTTGAAAGCTTGATGGGCTCTTCACATCTCTGTTTAGAAGCATCCTAAATATGATATGAGAAGGTCTTTAGCAGACTAAATGTTTTCAAAATATGCATTACGCGTACTCCAGCTAAAAGCTCACTCATCGGTGAATATCAAGGGTCGTCTCAGGCTCTATATTGGCAGGAAGCAGGTCAGGCGTGGGGGTATTGGAAATCGTATCGTCATCAATGAAGG